TTTTGTCCTATTCTCTTTTCCCATTGGTTTTTGCCCCCTCATCTTGTTGTTCCGTTTTCGCTTCTCATCAGGTGACGAGAATTGAGCGTGAGCCAAGCAGGCCCAATCTAGCGGCATGGCGATGGTGGCACCGTCACTCCGTCCGAGTTGCATATCCACTTTCGCCTCTCTTTTCTCGTCCCTTTTTCAACTTCTATCTCTGGGTCGTATCTCACTCAGTCATTCCCGCACAATGAACATTAGCACCAACGTCATCGCCAGCGATCCGCGAAAGGTGATGTGAGACCGAGTCAGTATTTTCGGCAGAAACACGAGAAAGCATTGTGGGGATATAGCCTCCACTACTGTCCAAAACTTTCATGCAAAGGCGGGTTTAGCTCAGTTGGGAGAGCGTCAGACTGAAGTCCACTTCACTCATAAATCTGAAGGTCGTGTGTTCGATCCACACAAACCGCACATCTTTTTGTCTCTTTTTCGTTACGCTTTCCTTCTCTTCTTTTCTTGTTTCTTTCTTTCCCTAGTTGTTGGTTCCTTTTTCACACTTTAGCATTTTCCTCCCTCTTGTCTCGCTCGCTGTATGTCGTCAGGCATCACTGACGGTTTGTGAGATAACAACGACCAACACCCCGAGAAGTGGAAGTTGAGCAAGTAAGCGCACTCTTCGACTTCGCGCACTTTTCACAGAAAGTCATGTTGAATAAGTGGTCTCTGTCTGGATGTTATTATGATGCCTACCCTACACCTACGGTACATCCTTTCTACCCAGATCCTGTGACATGAACAAAGCAAGCAAGTGCGCGACTCTCGACCTTTCATCTTCCCCGATACGCCCGAACTGAACCCAAGCCAAACCCATCGATTTACTCTCCATCCAGCAAACATGTTCACATCAACGACACATCATCTTGTACCTATTTTCTGACATAATCTTCAAATTCTCATTACATAGGTTGTTAGTTACTATTCGTTGTTACTTTCAAAATCGTATCCCATATAACACATCCTTCACCCGGTTTGCCCATAGTATCAGTCAGTCCAGTTCCAATATTCCCTAGGGTATATATCCGGGTCGCATTGCCCAACCTCCCAACCAACCAAGTGCCCATTCATTCCCTTCCATCCCTTCATACCTATTCCATAACCCATGATGGCCATGTCATGCCATGTTATGTCACGCCCTGATATACATACATATACAACCTTGAAACCCCAACCAATCCTAGCAGACAAGAAGCTACAAAGAAGTGAAGGGTAAAGGTTTTCTACTCCTCACGCACCAAGCGACCACCAAGCCAAAAAACGACCAAACAACCAAAAAAGAACACTCCTTCCCAGGGCTGCCCTTATGCAAACAAGTGTGTGTGCGTATGTGTGTGTGTGTTGAAACATCAGGTATCTCATATGCAAAAGACCCCACCAAATCCCATACCCAAATGATCAAATGAGGAAAGGAAGGAAGAGGAAAAACCCCTGTACAGACTAACTCCGAAAGCCAAGAAAAAGAGAAAAGGACATCGTAATCCGCGTCCACCGGTCGATGAACCAACCGACCGCGATGTTTACAAGCCAGCAAACCTCGCATCCGGCAGCGTCATTCCCGGATTGTTATCATCAGCACTCGTCTCGACCTTGAAGAAATGATCGCTGAGGTCATCTCCGACGAGCCTCGCCCCATAGATGTGGCCTGGCATCGGCTGCATTGGTTGGATGTTTCCAGTACCGGCAGAAACAGGTACCGGCGTCATTGGCTGCGACGGGGCAGGCAGTGAGTACTGGCGCTGCTCCTGTTGACCCTGATTCTGAGGCATGCCCCATGATTGCTGCTGTTGAGGGGGCGGGTATTGGCTATTGAAGTCGTTCTGGCCGGGCATCATGTTGGGGGGGAGCCGGATAGGGCGAGAACATCCTGGGGGCGGAATCGTTGGAGGTCAACACACGCTGGTGGTACTGGCGCTGGTGGAGACCTGTTCCCCATGGCTGTTGTTGAGTAGACTCAACAGGCGAAGGCGAGTAACTGCTAAAGTTCCCCTGCTGCGGCATCTGCTGGGTCATCATGTTTGAGGGAGGCGCAGAGTAGGAAGGCATAACCCTCGATGGCATATAGGGCATGAGTTGTGGGATCTGCTGCGACCTAATCTGGTTCTGAAGGGCGAGCGACGCTTCCTGCAGGTTTGGCAGGTGCGTATAGTTGTTGAAACTTTGGTTGGACCAGTCACCTTCCAAAGCAGCTGGCGAGTAGGCAGTGCTATCAGCCGGGCTGCTTTCGGTGCTGGCCGTAAGGTCGGGCGGTGCCGACATGTGGAACTGATCGAACTCAGAGCTGAAGGTAGGGTGCAGTTGCTGTCTGGGGGTCATCGAGCGATTGATACCACCCCTATGGGAGTTGGAATGATGCTTGTCTCTGGTCGTTTTTCTGCAGAAACTGTTAAAATGGCGGTTAGTGCCGCAGATGGGGGGGCGACATGGGAAGGGACGGTGGATCATCAAGGAACTGTGTGCTTGGAGTCGCGAGAAACACTTACGCTTTGTTACAGCCAACATCTTGGCAACGGTACGGCTTCTCTCCCCTATGAATACGGCGGTGTCTTGCCAAACTCGAGGACTGTATAACATGAGATGTTAGCGGTTGATCGATTTCCGATTTCGAGTGTCGAGCAACCAATTCAACTTACGTCGGCAAATGGCTTCCTGCATTCAGGAACTTCGCATTGATGAGGCTTCTCGCCGGTGTGCGTTCGAAGATGTACAGTGAGGGCACTGCGCTGGATAAACCGCTTTCCACAGTCTTGCCAGTTGCATCCGTATGGCCGTTCGTTTGTGTGGATGCGGTGGTGTCTTTGGAGATCGGACTTTCTGTTGAAGCGCTAGATGGAACAACGAGGATATGTCAGCAAAGCTCCATGATCAACCTCTTTCCACAGGGCCTGATGCAGCACCAAAGGCACCGATTGAAGATCACATAAGAGAAGCTATCACGAGCCATGGTCTCGTGCAACAGACGGACGAACAAGCGATCAAACGGATGGACGGCCTGTGCAAAGAAGCTTCAGAAGGGGGTACTCAGTAACTAACCTTGCCGCAACCCTGCCAATCACACAAAAACGGACGAGGCCTCTCTGGATCTTCAGCCATGATTTGAAAGAGTTCCATACAAAAGTGAAACTGCCTTTGCGCTTCGGGTCGTTGCTCCTTTGGTCGTTTGTGCTCCTGGACGGAAAGATCAAAGCACAAAGTTTGCGGGCGGACGATGGTCGTGCACCTTGGAACTTGGTCTTATAAGGGGGTTGTCCTCGTGGATTGATTTGCCTCCCCTGATGGACCGGAAGAGGATCTGGTTGTAGGAGGTAAAGAGCGGGGGAGAAGATGTGAAGGGATCAACCCGGATGGGAAGACAGCAAAATGATGAGTGATAGGGAGCTTGAAGCAGAAACTCCGGATAACCTGGAACTGTCTGCGATGTTGTGTGTGTGTGCGGCGGCGCTCTGCTCCGGTGGGCGGGCCACAAGTGCGTGGTTATGGCGAGTTGCCAAAGTTGTCTGAGGCCTGGCTCAGTGGGAAGAGAAAGAAGGCGATCTGAGCAAAAGGCCGTGTGTGCCGGAATATATAGCTTGCTGGACGTGAGGATGAATTCAACACCAGTTGTCGTATGTTCCGGTTATTTGGTAGGTTCCTCTCGTGTTCTCTTGAGCGAATGAAAGATCCGACCTGAAATCACGACGGATAGGCGGCGATATTCAAATCAAATCAACAACCTATAAGGCAACAGCGTATTAGAACGAAGAAACTGCAGAATCAGAAGATATGAAGGTCGAGTCATTCCAGTTCCCAGGCGAGCTCCACGCGTGATGATAAATGTGGTGGATGGAAGGCGAACTACCTCCGGGAGCTTTGACGTGCGGAAGAGAAAATTGGGCCTTCTACGACACAACGTGCCATACGTAGGCACTACAGCGATTGGGACAAAGGTAATTGAAGACATCCAACATAAGTCATCCAGTCGGCTACAGCATGTCCGACATCCCGATGCCAGTCTAGGGGTCCGTGTCGACACAGATTCTCCGCCCGAGATCAGAATGACGACATGGCCCCAAAGACCGCATGATGCAGTAGATCAGAAGGGCGCCGTTGAGGTTGGGGTCTTGGAAATGGAGGGGAAATGGTTGGAAGAAGAGCCACTTGGAGAAACATAACTGAATCGCGTTCACTCACCAAAGTGCTCGTTGACAAGGCCGTGCCCTGGACACGAAGCCGTCAAAGGACGTCCGTGGAGATACGTTCACCGGTGATAAGCCACAAGAGCTAAGGTAAGGTACATGGTTAGTCGAGGAACCACAAGCAGATCGACTCATCTGGACCTATGATCCATCGCGTCCGATATTCCAGTAAGGAAACACGAAAGTCAAGGCACACACTCGGATGCCAATGTGTGGATCTTCCAGCCTCCGGACGTTCCAACTCACCCTCAAATATGGTTCTATACCGAAAACGAGCCCTTAAAGACTTTATCAAGTATCAGAAGAACAGCTTCTTCCTTCTACCCAAAGCAACGAGCAAGTTTTTCCAAGTTCGTAGCCGTGTGCTGAAGAACGCGCTTGTTCTTCGCTTCCAGTCTCGTGTGGTGGTCGTTTAGGAATTGTGAAGTGGCGGGCACCAAATTCCTCCCAAATCCGGTAACCACTACTGATGGAGAGAACGGTCGCAATGTGTTCAAGATGGTTGTGGTAGGTTGTGAATGACAAAGTCCGAGTGTCTGGATATCTCGTCGCAAAACTTCGTTGGACCCACACGTTACTGGATTAACGCAGATATCTGATATCCAAACTCTCAGTGTCTCTTGTTGATGTAAGGAGCGCAGCTGTCATGCGAGTTGGCGCGTCTGGCATATACGTGGTGGATAGCTGTCTGTAATGCAGGCGTAGAGGTCCGTAGGTAGTGAGCGAATGTTGGTGCGTCGGCTGCGATTATGTGCCTATGTGCACAAGTTGGTGGTCTCTCAAGTCGGATCGAGCGGGTTTCTCGGTGGGTAGAAGGCACCACGAGACCCTTTATGTGAAGCGTTGCTGGATCAAAGGGGGGAGTCAAGAGGGTTGCGGTGCTTGTAACGGGGTCGAAGACGATGTTGCAGCAGCAAGCAACCCTGGGCGAGGAGAGCCTAGCACTGGGGTGCAGATGTCCATTGTCTCGCCTGTCCCGTTTTGGTTAACCATTTTTTTCTCTCATGACCTTACTATTTAGGCCGGTCTCTCGCAACGGCCAAAAGCAAGGGGGCGTGGTACCTGGGCCGACTACCGAACGTGGTCAAACAGGGGTATCGGTAGGGGTGGTCGAGTGCAGGTGGGTGGCAGAAGCCCACGAGTGCAGCTTGCTTTGCGGACAGTATGTACTGCATAGTATGTGGGTAGTAGTAGTGAGAATCCTATGCAACTGTAAGCGGTAGGCCAGGTAGAGGACGAATCTGGCATAGAATCTGGAGACATACTTGTCAAGTCTAACCTACTTACATCCAAGTCCCTTGCTTTGGTAATCTTGGACGGAAGCTCAAGGCAACCGACGAACCACCGAGACAAAGCGAGAGCCAGGGATGAAGCGATGGGTTGATGGTGTCTTGGGTCTAGACCAGCGCAGTAGGGTTAGGTGAACTTTCTTGGGTGATGCTGTTTTGGCGGCATCTTGATATCTGGATGTGTCCACTTTGTAATCTCCGGAGAGAAGCGAATCTGAAGAGCCTTGCAGAGGGCCTGGCGATGGCCTCCATGCGATGCCCTGGGGATCTCGAAGCCGCAGTACCGCTCGCCTTTTGCTTTTTCCTGTCTACTTACTGTAAGTGGAAGCGTCCTGCGTTGCCAACCCTAACCTGGTCGGCTCTGTCCTCATGGGACCCATGGCTCGACAGTGGAGCATTTCAACCGGCTGGGTATCATGTGTGCACCATCTATGGCGGATTGGGGATAGCGGATGCAATAGAAGCTGGGTCGCTCGAGTTGGTTGAAGCTTGGGAGGTTGTCGTGGTCGGAACGCGAAGGATTGCGCTAGACGATAGCTCCAATCGTGAAGGAGACGAAGAAGTTGAGGTGACGACCAGAAAGAGTCCAAGTGGACCCCTCCGCAATAGACCCACTCCGCTGCCTGACAGCTGAACTTGGGAGCACGGAAAGTGGACGGATTGACATCGCATCCACAGGAAGGCGCGGCACTCCCGCGGACGTCCACAGTCAGGAACACAGTCAGGAAATTTGGAAGGCATCGTTATGAGTGGAGTTCAGTTAGCACTTGATATTAATCGGGCATAGTTTTTGAAAGGCTCTTGAGCAGAAGCAAACAGCATTACGATATGACGATGTCAGACATCCCGAGAGGAGATTTTGAGATGCAGCTCGAAAAGAAACGAAGGTATTGTGTAGCTGGGTACAGAGGTACCTCGAAAACACTGAATGACAGAAGGAGTGAGTGCCCTGAGAAGACGGGGACTTGGAGGGGCCAGACCGGAGCCACACAGCCCAGCAAGTGCAAGAGGTCGAAGCGATGTGAAGCGATGGAGGGACCCACCTTCCCGCTCCACACCCATCCTTTCCTAAACGGGAACAAGTCTGCCGGCCAAGCCAATCGTAGAAGGGAGTCGAGACTGTGAGACCGACCGGTGTGCAAGGGGCCATGATCATAAAACAAGGGGCCTGCTAATATTGCAAGGGCGATAGGGTCTTCTATACTAAATATTGTTCCTTCCACGCCAACGGCGAGATAACCTGTTGCTCAAAATGTTCATTGACACCTCCTCTGTTTGTTTCTCAATCCGTTCCTCACATACAAATCTGATATCTACTATCACCATGGATCCCTAGTACACCCTTGGTGTTATCAGATGGAGTGTAAGATTCGCGACCTTTTGGGAATGACCTGTTTGATAATGCACCAGATTCAACCAACAAGACAAACTCCAGCCATCCGACCAATCCCGCACCGTCAGCCATCCCGTTGCAGTAATCTTCCCGCTCCGTCAACGGCCCGCTTGCATTCCTGTCCTCTGTCTGTCCGTCTTCACGTCGCACAATCGACACCGTATCGTATGCGACTCGCCGGAAATCACGATGCTTATCTCCTCGTGATATAAACCTGTTGAAGTGATCACGGCGTTTTTTTCGTCCGCAAAGCTCCGCAAAGCGCTTCCATCATCTCCGGAGAGTGGATGGCCAAGTCGCGCCTGTCCTGATATACCTGCCTGCTAGCAAACGACCTTCCGTTTTGGCCATCTTTTCCAACGGTCCTTGAGTGCTACGGTAGCCTTGCGACTTTCATGGTATACAGTCGAACCCCCCAAAACTGCATACTCTAGATACTGCATATATGCCTTTAGTGCATATAATTTTGGCTGTGTGATTCCCCGTCCACACCGAAATCCGGGTCCTGAAACTGCATATCTGCTAGTTAATGCATAGAATTTCCCGGTCTGGATTACATGCAATTTCAGGGGTTTCTACTGTACTTACCTGCTGTCGCGATATCAATATCAAGCAGAATTTATCATCTTACCCCTCACGCGGTTTTCACAATAGTAGGATGCGACATGATATGTCGAGCAGACATGTGCACACATGATATGGTGTTGAATGTGCCACAGCATAGGTAGAACAGGTGTTGTGGTTCCGGCGCCGTCTGTCGACGTCGCGACTCTCGATACCACCTTTGTCGGAATCACGGCCGGAGTTCGGTTCGCGAGTGTCTCGGGGGGTTTACCGAAAGGGTGTCGGCGCGAACGGCAATTCCTTCGGAACACGGAAGAGGCAGAACGACTTTGTTCCTTTTTTTTTCTCTTGCCTTCGACCCCTGAAACAATGCCTGGGCCTTCTGGTCACTTCTCGCCAAGTTCCGAGCTGTCATTACGTAAGTTTCGGAAGGGAAGAATATACCTAGCGCAAGTAGAAGTCGTGACATACCTCGAAGCGGACATAATACCAGAAGTGGATTAAAGGGGTGGAATCCCTTCCCCAGTGTCGTGATGAGGCTTATAGCGCACAGTGACTAAAGACTGCGCCTGAATGAAGCATTGTCTCGGTATTTCCGTTACGGATGGCTTCATTCGTGTTGCTTTATTTTAGCTTGAATACCTAAACCATAAAGCTCGCATTGGGCTATTGGCGTAGGGAGACCGGAGA